ACACATTATAACAAATGTTTTGCTTGATGGAATACAGCCACATGTTTATGCTACACGAATTGTAAAAATATCTCTGATAATCTGAGAAATGACCAGGTCAGAAAATGAAGAAAAAACAGTTTTTCTTATAAATACATTGTATTTATCAGGATTAACTCAATGTGGCAATAATGTTATAAATAAAAGCTGGCATATCAGTTTTCTTAGGAAAAATGGGTTCCCTGATTCATCTGTCATTGGGTAGTGGAAGGTCAGTCCACGCAAGCAGCTTTATTGCTGCGTTTTTCATGTGAAGGTGAAGAAGGTGAGACACCACGCTGAAAAATTATATAGATCTAATGGATCATACCAGCCATATTTCATGCATTTCACTTATAATTTGTTATTGCAGCTGAAATAATATATCAAAGGGATATGACATAAGAAATGTTACTGTGGCAGGTTCAACACTGAGAGTACTTTTGATTTTTCAACACATGCAGACTGGTATTTTTTACAATCATTGCCTTTCTAGAATGAATAGTTGTGTTGAACATTTTTATTTAGAAATTTCACTACACATTAAAGTCAAGTGACTTGAAAACACTTCAATTCAGGGACCTGTACAGCATCCACTTGGGAATACAAGTTTGATGACTTTCTGCTTTGCCATCGCTAATGACAAAGAGATCTGACTTTCCAACCCATTATAATGTGATAATTGTTTGTTTTTGTTTTTTTTCAAGGAAGAAATGAGACCAACCAGAGTGACAATGTTCCAAAAGTTGAAGTTTGTCCAACTGAGAGCAATGAGAGCACAGCAGACAGAAAAAGCAGCTGTTGCAGAGGGTTTTCTTGTGCTTTTAGTAGACATAATCCCTACCTCCACGTACTTTTCTTGCTTTTGTCATTCAAGTCAAATACAAACTACATAAAAAAGACACAAATATACTGTAAAAATATACAGTATAATAATGCATATGAAATAAAAAGAGAGGCAGCCAAAAATCCCTGTGATGTGTTCACTGCATATGTGGTTGGAGATACTCTGCTACGTTGTGTATGCATGAGTGTGTGAGTGGAGGTGTGTGTTGGCCGGGCAGCCTAATCACCTCTCGCTACAGAGAGTCCAGAGGCCTCTCAACAGACGCCCCCTTTGGGCCGCCTCCACCACTGCCAGCTCTCCTCTGAGCGCACACTTTAATTAATAATCAAGCTAATTGGATTGAGGTCCCCCGCTGTGCAGACGATGTGTGCGTGTGTGTGTGTGTGCATTCAGTATGTATAACATGAGCGAAATTAGGCTGCTTTGGACAGTGTGAGCATGTTTGGTGTGTGTGTGTGTGTGTGTGTGTGTGTGTGTGTGTGTGTGTGTGTGTGTGTGTGTGTGTGTTTGAGCGGGCGAGGCAGCCACCGTTTAGGCTCTGCTCTCCCTGTGCGAGCTAAAGATGATAGTAAAACTTGATGGTGCTCAAGAGGCAGCTCCCATTTTATAGAAATGTCTAGCTCATACATTGTAAAACATGTACCTTTCACTACCCCTCCACACTCCAAAGGTACAATAAAGAGATAAAGTAGCACATTCATTGCATTTATTGCATAAACACCTGAGGAGAAACTGGGTTTTCCCCTGAAAGCTGATTTGATTTTAAATGGTGGATATTCATCGTTTTGATGGGGTTGATACAGTTTTAAATACATTTCAGTAATTCTATAGGGCAAATTTATGTACATATATGAGTCTCAGACATTTATTGTAAAGTGTAAAGCTAAGTTTGTGTGTTAAGCTCTTATTTCTAATGGGAAATTGCATTCTTTGAGGAAAAAAGCTGTGGTGTTCTTTCAAAATACACTTCCACAGAGAGAAAAATATTGAGTATTTGAACTTACTCACTCCAATGCTCCCTCTAATTTCACCTATCTCTATTTCCTGTCCACTAACCTCTTCTTTTCTTCGCCTACCCTTTCTCCCCTCTCACCCTGCATTTCATCTGGCCTGCACCCCGCCCTCCCTCCCCCCTCCCTCATTCTCGGCGTGGACGTTTGGCAGGGAAGGCGGTGGGCGCTGCAGGCCAGTTCTCTATATTAGATGTCAGGCCTCAGATAGGGACTCGGGCCTGTGGGTAAACACTTTGACAGCTTCTACAGAGGATATTTTGTCGGTGAAATGGAGTCTGCATTACTCCAGGTGAAAAGAGACAGGGAGAGAGAGGCAGAGGAGGATCGAGGAGTCTCTTACATTCACAATAGCTTCATTTACTGGGACTGCTTTCTTTTTGGAACAAAAGTACAAAAGTTAAAAATGAGTCTATGAGCGGATAATTTCTTTTAATGTTTTCTTTAGCATTCAGAGGTCTTTCGCTTGTTATGCACATCTTTTCTGTCAGACCACTACACACTTGAATCATAACGATTCTGTGCTAAGTGAGTCACAAAACCAGATTATAAAAGCTTGTAAACATCCAAAACACATAATAAATCAACTGTAAAAAATGAAGTACATTGGTTTTGATGTAATAGATAAGTTATATATAAATGTAATAGGGTAGTCGAATTACCCAGGCACTTCATAAATAAGCCAAACAAGTGAGATTTGGACCATAATATGTTGCAGTTTTGTCAATACCACAATATGAGCATTTGTGATAAACATGTTGCAAAAGCCAAAACGAATCACTATATATGAAAAAGAACATTTCAAACCACAATCGCTTTCTAACTAAAGGATGGAGTTTCTGAGGCAGAATTTTGAAACACGTCAGCAGCAGTTGCAGTGTTTCCCTTGCATACATTCACATTTAATTGTGCCATTGCTAAATTACAAGCACCGCTACTGAAATTTCACACGATCATTAATATCAATGCGCCCCTCATGATTTCTACTCGCACTGTGTGAACACAACAACACACAACGTTGTTTCCGACTTGTTTTGAGTCATCAACGAGCGCATTAAATCCTGTCAGACCCTCTTCCAATAATGTGAAGGCTAAAGTTTAAGCCTACACATGGTCTATATAGCGAGTAGCGTGGGTAACGTAATGTAATGTGAACGTAACAGCATAGCTCCTTGAGTGGCAAGAGAGTGATGGTAACAGCATACAACCCCCCAAAAAAATTCTGAGTTGCCATATTGGAAATGATGACTCAACCTAACTTTCAGTCAACCAACAAGAGGTGGGCCTTCAGCCTCCTTGTAAATAGCTCCAGAGTTCCCGCCTGGCAGCTGTGCCCTTGATTCACCAGTCTTGTAGTCTTGTGTTAATAATTAGTCTTAAAAATGGTCTTTCTTGTCTTAATGTGCGCATGGTTTCTGTTGCTTCTGCAGCCCCCCTCAAGAGGGCACTTGGGAAATGCAGTTTTTAGCACTTTTGAACTTGTATTTCTCAAGACCAGAGAGTCCTGCTTAGATTTCATCCTATTGCAGTGCAGTCGGATGAAGCTTAGTCTGAAGCTTCCCTCAGACTAATTGGTCCCAACTGAGTGGTGAAATAAACCATTTTTTGGATATTTTCATATTCCAGGGTAACATGGTACCAAATGATTGCCAAAGAAACACTAAGTTATGGATGATATACGCTATTTCATTGGTTTAATTTTTATGTTTTATGTAATTACTGCAACATAAATTCTTGTTTCTTCACAAGACATATACCAGTTTATCGCAGTATCAGTTTTTTCCAATATTGTGCAGCCCTAAGTAAGATTAAGTGCTGCTTTATGTTGTTTGCACCTTTAAAACAGATGCTTTTGGTCTTGGACCACCATTTGTCAGCCATGATGCTTCAGCGCTGACACATTGAAACAACAGACAGGTAAAGCAGTGAAGAACACCGCTTACACCACATCCAGTTGGCCAACTTTGGTCCAGCTTTCATAGCAGAAGAGGGAGGAGCCTTGGGTGTCATCTAGTACAGCAGGTAACAAGTATGCTGCTGAATTTATAAACTGGGTTGGAGAACAAAAGCACCGCTGGGCCACTCAGAACAGCACCCCAGGATGTACATGAAGGCAGCCAGTGACTGGGAAGCGTAAGGTCAGCTGACTGGAAAATGTTTTAGGACTCACAAACACACCTGTTTGGCTGGCACCCCATGACCTTGGGCCTTTTCTACGAAGCAAGATTACTGCTTAGCGAGATAACTTTGAGGGTAAGTTCGGGGTTTCCTGTTCTACGACACGCGTTCACTTCTTAGCGAGGCGAGTCTCCATGGCAACATACACTGAACGGCTAACCTGGGGCCTGTTCTACGAAGCAGGATTACTGCTTAGCGAGATAACTTCGAGGGTAAATTCGGGGTTTCCTGTTCTACGACGCGGGTTCACTTCTTAGCGAGGTGAGTCTCCATAGCAATATATGCTGAACGGCTAACCTGCTCCGGGGCAGGTTAAGTTCCAGATTGAACTCAAAGAGTATAAAAACCCCGCCCACTGACCAATGAGCTCTCTCGAAAAACGGCTTGTCCGTTCTTGGAGGATCCTGTAGACCTCGGTGCTCGCATTGTCCAAGGAGCACTCCGGCTCGCGAGAGTTTACAGGGAGGGTTTTCTCCGGATGACCACCTTTATGAAAGGCTCATATGGCCGACATATTACACAAAACATGTAAACATGATAGGAATGAACAAATGAATGATTCATCTTGGGAATGAATGGGCATGGGCTGCGCGATCAACATCTCGGTACTATTTAGTAGCAGCGCACGCCCCTTATAATAACCCCCGTAAATAATGTTGTTCAGGACTGCTTACTTGTGCTTCCTACCCACTGTAACAACCGTTGTTCTTGCCCACATGCAACATTTTTGATCTCATTCATGAAACGCTTAAATCAGGGACATTTTCGGGGACAGCTTTAGCCGGGGACAGATCATCCAATTCGGGGACTGTCACCTTAGTTAAAAGCGCATGTTGAACAGTGCTATTTCAGGGTGATAATGGCATCAAAGATTACTTTTCTGCCAGCCTTCCCTCCGTGCTTTTGCAGCGGTGACGGTGTTGCTTTTGAGGTTTGTGATAGCTTTCAATTCTTCATACTTTCTCATGATCGTCTCCTGTTCCTCGTTTGTAAAGTCTGCGGTCCTTCACTCTCCAGCCTGCTCTGACGCTCCAGACTGATCCATGTTCGCGATTGGTCAGATGCGGCGGGCTCCGCCTTATATGTGTGCACGCGCTCATAGCAGAGCTGGATCCACTTATGAGGTTGATAACCAGCGTCATAAAACCGCTTAGCGAGACCGCTGGCTATCACGCTAAGTTGAGCGAGGTAGCTCCAAGGCTACCTCGCTAGGTTGAACCTGCTTCGTAGAACAGGCCCCTGCTCCGGGGCAGGTTAGGTTCCAGATTGAACTCACTGAGTATAAAAACCCCGCCCACTGACCAATGAGCTCTCTCGGAAAATGGCTTGTCTGTTCTTGAAGGATCCTGTAGTCCTTGGTGCTCACATTGTCCGAGGAGCACTCCAGCATGCGAGAGTTTTCAGGGACCGCACGGACCCACTTACTTTTCCGGATGACCACCTTTATGAAAGGCTCATATGGCCGACATATAACACAAAAAATGTAAACACGCTAGGAATGAACAAATGAATGAATTCATCTTGGAAATGAATTAGACATGTCTGGTGCATGTTAAAAGCGCATGTTGAACAGTGCTATTTCAGGGTGATAATGGAATCAAAGATTTTTTGCACACTATACTTGCGCATTGAGACTGTCGGCAATTTCCCGCCAGCATTCCTTCCATGCTTTTGCAGCGGCGACGGTGTTGCTTTTGAGGTTTATGATAGATTTGAATTCTTCATACTTTCTCATGGTCGTCTCCTGCTCCTGGTTTGTAAAGTATGCGGTCCACCGCTCTCCGGCCTGCTCTGACGCTCAAGACTAGTCCATGTTCGCGATTGGTCAGATGCGGTGGGCTCCGCCTTACATGCGTGCACGCGCTCATAGCAAAGCTGGATCCACTTACGAGGTTGATAACCAGCGTCGTAAGACCGTTTAGCGAGACCGCTGGCTACCGTGCTAAGTTGAGCGAGGTAGCTCCAAGGCTACCTCGCTCGGTTGAACTTGCTTCGTAGAATAGGCCCCAGGAAGTATAAAACCAAACATAGACAACTAGACAGCACAGAAAAGAACCAAAACATTTAAGGGCCTAATCTACTAAAGGTTTGCATGTGCAAAAACACGTGCAAACTTGATAGCGCACGCAAAGCTGATCTACTAACCGTGTGCACTGTGGATTGCGTCTGTCAAGTGAGCAAAACAGCACGCGCAATCCATTTAGCGTGTTTGCCTTCATGAATATGCAGATTGTATGTATTGTATGATCATTGGACTGCACAACATTTTGGGAGGAGCAGATGCAAATGGAATCATTTAGCACCCACAGTGTGTTTTATTAAACAGGAAACCGATTGCGGACGCTGTTTTGTGTGTATATTTAGCATGTTTGAAAGGCACATGCAAACTGGCACAGCATTAAGCAAAAATGGCTGCAGTCATTGCAGGGAGAAGAAGGCAAAAGTGCTAAAAACATTTTTCTAGTAAATGACGGTTTTCCTCGTTCAAAGAGGGCAGAGGGACCACTTTTGCTCCTGTTATCAATTGCGAACACAATGATAGTAGATCACCCTCAACACGTCCACTTTTTTGGTTTGCACACGCAATTTAGTGCTCCTTATTTGGGATCTTAGTAGATCAGGCCCTAAAAGTATATGTTTTGAGTGAAACCAGGCACTTGCAGCCTTATTGAAACACTGTAACAATAAGCTTTGCTTATTTGACCTTTTTGACAAACCACCACTGGTTCCAACTCTGCAGAAATGTGAGTCTAAAATGTGGGGGCTCTATGCAACATCGTCTCTGTTTATGGAAGTCTTAAAACCATGGGCACAGAACATGTTCGTGTGTGTGTGTGTGTGTGTGTGTGTGTGTGTGTGTGTGTGTGTGTGTGTGTGTGAGCAGAAAAAGGTAGAGGGTCTGCAGGAAGATTTCTTGGATGCATGAGCTTCAGTACGGCAAATTAAATTTGAATGCAAATGCAGCGGTATTCCTTGACAGTGGGTGATAAAAACCCTATTATGTTTAATGATATGCTTTGTGAATGTGCATGAGTGGAGAGTGGTCTGCAACTCAGGAATGGGGGCTTTCTGCGATGGCTTTGAACAGACGAGGTGCACGTGTGGTCACAGGCTTTAGTCTAGGCGTGTTTTAAGAGCCGATGAAGTTTGCCATGCAGCAAATTCTCTCACAGAGCTTCACCAGACAGCTTCAGATTTTCCTCAGAACAAAATGTTACACTTAGCAGAGCTCACCACCTTTGAAAAACTGCATGAATGCCCAAAAATACTTTGTGAATAGCTCAGCTAAAGCTGCGTCCTTCGCAGACTGTCATGTTTTCTTCAGGTTTTCACAATACACCTTGAGATTAATAGGAGAATGATCATTCAGTGATTTAATGCTTCCTACTAGGCATCGCAGAAATATTTCTTTGACTTTATTTACTGAGAAAGACTTCTTGTTTGTCATACCTCAAAGTGTGAGGGCAGATGAACAGTTGGTGTTTCATTTAAGACTATTTATGATGTTGCTTTCTTGCAGGAATGCTGAGAAAGGGTGAAGGCTGTGTGTGTGTGTTTACTCAGACTGCCTCTGAATGTGTGCGTGTGCTGTTTTTGTAATGTGGGTGTGTGGTCATGTGTGCATCTAAAATATGAGCTGGTTGTCTTAATGAGCGAGTGAGTGTTTAGTGACCTGTCCATTCACAGCCTATTGATTTGGTTTGATGTCTCTGTAAACAGCCGGGCACTTTGTGGAGATGCATAGCAGGCAGGATCATAAAAACAGACGCATCCGTCACCGCACAAACATACTCGTTATGTCACCACATGGCTGCACATGGGCACCAAATCCATTTCTTAAAAACAGCCTAATGATTTCCAAAGTCCAGCCACAGCTGTAGTTAAAAGTAATGACATTTTCCTGAAGATTTATTTTGCGTCGTGATCAAAGTCTCTTTAAATCTGCCCTGCTTTAGCCATTTAGTTTTTTGAATCATGTTGTTAAGTCATAACAGGGAGCATGGGCAGTATTTCTGAACTCTTGTGTAACACCTTTAGCTTGATCCTCTTTAAACTGTTGGTAAGCTTTTAATGAGAAATGTCAATGGGAAGCAATGAGTTCATTAGCTGACTAACAAAAAAAGAATGAAAGAGTAAAAAATAGAGATTTAATGAACCATTTGTGCAAACAAATTCCACATATTAGCCCTCTGATCAGCCGGCAACCTGTCCGGAGTGTACCCCACTTTCCACGCAATGACAGTTGGGATAAGCCCCCCCTGACCTTGAATGGGATAAGCAGTGTCGTCAATGTGACTGTGTAAAGAACTAAAGCACAACAGCACTTGAGTTAAATGGTAACACTAAGTGCTTCACAGACTCACATTAAGTCAATAAAGACTACCATAACCACCATCTCAGTCCAAATTTGTAAAAGTTAGCATTCTTAGATCTATACTGTATTATTCAGACTATTAGGCGCACTTAAAATCCTCAAAAATTGATTGTGCGCCTTATAATCCAGCGCACCTTATGTATGATAACTTGTTGTGCTTACTGACCAATTTTATGTGGTACCATGCACTCAAAGATCTGTCGAAATGTGTATACAAACACATGTACGACTTTTGTAAGCAACAAAGCCACTCCGCTTAGTGGATATTTGGAGCATTACGGTACGCTTTGTCACTAACTGATCAGCCCCGTAACAGGACCCCTGAGAAGTCTACAACACTGCCTGACTGTAATGTCTAAAGTAAAAGTGCATTCATGTCAGGTGGCCAAGGCCCGGAGTACGTGCTAGCAACAATAAACCAATCCACGCGCCAATGCTTAATGCACTTGATTTTAAGATACTATTGCTGGTTTATAAAGCACTGAATGGATCAGGACCAAAATACATTTCTGATATGCTGATACGTTACGAACCATCCAGACCGCTCAGATCATCAGGAGCAGGTCTGCTCTCTGTCCCCAGAGTCAGAACTAAACGTGGAGAAGCAGCTTTTAGTTTTTATGCTCCTCATATCTGGAACAAACTCCCTGAAAACTGTAGGTCTGCTGAAACTCTCAGCTCTTTTAAATCACAGCTGAAAACGCATATGTTTGCTGTGGCCTATCATTAAATCAAACCTGAGGCCTTTAATCAACATCTTCATCATCTGCCTGTCTTGATCTTTTTTTTCTATCTCTCCAATCTAACCTTTGTTTTCTTTTATCTCCAATCTTATTTTAGCTTTGAATGTAACTTTTAATCTGTTAAATGTCTTTTACGCTGTTTTTACTTTTCAAATTGTGTTGAATGTTTTGCCTGCTTGTTTCATGTAAAGCACCTTGAATTGCCCTGCTGCTGAAATGTGCTATACAAATAAACTTGACTTGACTTGACCTTACAATCCGGTGTGCCTTATGTGTGAACATAGACACAGTAATTCACAGTGCGCCGTATAGTCCAGTGTGCCTTATTGCCCAAAAATACTATAAACTCGTACTACATGCAAAGGGTGGCTGTAGTTTAGGAAACTCATTGTGATCTAATGGCGATAGATGCAAATGAAGCTAAAACACAGAGCCCAAAAATGAGACAGTTTATCTTGAGGAGTGTGAATTTCTTTGTAATTGTAAAGGGACAGACCTTTTTTACATTTGAGGAGGGGCTGTGTGAGGCACAAGTCAACACTTAGTGAAGTGCTAGTGTAGGAGATGCAGGTCAGCTCAGCTCCTTTACTGAGAAACAAACTTCAGGACCAACACAGAAGCTAGGCTATCACCCTCTGCAAATAACATTACCAACTTTTTTAGCCAGTTTTGGTGAAAGTCTAACCTGATCACTAATTTCTGTGTAAATGTACATTATATTTGGAAATGCTTTACTTTAACATGATAAAGCCACCTTGTTTCAGCATTTTTACATAGTAACACATACCTATACTTCCACCTGCAGCTCACTGATCAGCTGTTTGGATCTGCTGGCTTGGATGTACAAAGGGTGAGGTCAAGAATCAGCGACCTGAAAGAGAGAGTACAGAGAACCTGTGTTGGTGGTGCACATGTGCAAACCGTGAACCCACGCCTGCAGACCAATTGCTTTTAAGAGTGGGACTTGGTAACTACAGCACACCAGGACCTTTCTTGATCACTTTCAGCTGCAGTCTGAACTGCTTACTGCTCAGAACTTACAAAACTATCTTCAAATGTCACACATCAAAACACATTTGTAAATGCACAACAACATAACCAATAGTGCAAATAATATTTATCAAAGTGTGTGTGTGATAGGCGTTTAGGGTAAGTGACAAACTCTACAGGCATCACTATGCCTGCCAGGTAATATTTACTATTTGTTTCTTAAAATGATCTCAAACTGGATGTATTCATATCAAAACTTGCAAAATAACTACCACTGTACAGGGCAATAATCAAGTGTGTCATATCATAAACATACTGCATACATCATGTCAGAAGGTGGTGGTACTATCAATCATCCTTACAGCTACGTGGATTTTGTGATGTTGCTGTAGAAAAAAGTAAGCCTCATGGTTGTGCAAGTAGGATACAGAGGATCATTTTAGATATCATGACTCATGCTCTGAGGATCATGAATGCACAATGTACAAAACTGCCTCAAATCCTTTTCATTCATGTTGTGATATGAAGAATAAAGTGGATAACCATATGAAAAAAAAAAAAAAAAAAAAAAAAAAACATTTAGCAGGAAGCCAGATGGGAAATTTCTGCATGACTGTGCTGCTGCTGCTGCTGCACTAAAGGAAACTTTTAAATTTGTACAAAATGAAAACTTTTCACGTTTTCATTAAAAGCAGCTGGAGGTCTTAAAAGAGCACTAAAAGGTTTCTTACAATGGAATAAATTGTATTTTCAGTACTTTACATGTTCATAACACACAACAAAGCTGTAGAGCCTCAAAAACCACAAACAGATTAAGCCTTTGTCAAAGAGAGGCAGTTAGAGATGATGGTCTCTATCTCTCAATGACCTGTCTTTTTTCATTAGAGACAACTAAGGATGTTG